TTTCATACAAAGGAAGTCTACACAGCAACGAGAATGAACCAACTATTGCCACACATGAGGATGAATCTCACAACCATACAGGTGAGTAAAACTCAGATACAAAAGAGAAAATACTCTATGATTCAATTGATCTAAAGCTCAAAAACAGGCAAAAATAATCAATGGTGGGCTAGGTCTTTCCAAACCAATACCTTTAGATATACTGTAGTCACTCTAACAACTTCCTCATTTTCTATCTTGCAGATAGGCCATGATTTATGTAAGAAGTCCCCAATTCACAGATACCTGACAAAGACGACTGTGGAGCAGTCTTGCACCTCTACTTGAACTCTCAAGGAATAAGAATATTGAATTCAAATTTCCCAACTCTAAGAGTATTTCCTATAATCTCATTGTACTTCTAACAATTTTGTTTTATATTTTATATGTGTAATTTTTCATTACATATGTTTCACTATAGAAAATTTGGAATATACCACAAGGTACAGATAATAATACCTAACAGATTTTACAGCCGACTCTGTGCCAGGCAGTGTTCTAAGCACTTGATGTGTGTTAACTCATTTAGTATTCCTGACAACCCTATAGGGCAGGCTCTGTTATTATCCCCATTTTTCTTAAGAGAAAATTGAGGCTAAGTGAGTTTAAATAATCTATCCAGGTCTCATAGCTAGACAGTGGTGCAGTCTGGCTCCAGAGTCTATGGGCTTTACTTATTCATTATTAAAATCACCTGGAATCCCTTCTCTAACAATAACAAAATAAAACCCAAACTCCTACAATGGCCTACAAGGTCCTTACACAGAAGCCTCCACACTCCTCAAGTGAGATCACCTCTTACCACCTGTCCCCCTGCTCTAAGCCTAAAATATTTACTATCCGGCCTTTTATAGACAAAGTCTGCCACCACCGTTATAGACTCTTAAAATCAGACAATTCTCTACTGGACTAATTACACTGCAGCCAAAACTTGGCTGTAGTTAGACATAGATGCAGCATTCATTGAGTCCACCACCAGACTCCAGACATTTCTAACTCTGTGGCACATGTACAAATCACCAGTCTTGCACTCTTTGAACCTCTCACTCCTGTCATGACCTCTACCCACGATACCCTGCTGGTTCTCCACCTAGGAGAACCTCTTCAACTTCAAAGCTCAACTCAAGTTCCATCTCCACAAAGCAAAGGTGCTAAGTCATCCCATCCAAAAGTGACACTGCTTTCCCCAAAGTACCAGAAGACTCACACAGTAATGCTTTTAAGGTAATCGTTACACAAGGGGAAACATCAAATAGCCTAAAGACCTTAGGCTTGGGGCCAGAACACCTCGATTTTAGGTCCCAGCTCCTCCACTTACTGGTTGTGTGACTTCTCTGTACTTTTTTCTTTTTTTTTTAAAGATTTTATTTATTTATTTGAGAGAGAGAGAAAGCATGAGGGGGGGAGGGTCAGAGGGAGCAGCAGACTCCTCGCTGAGCAAGGAGCCCGATGCGGGACTCGATCCCGGGACTCCAGGATCATGACCTGAGCCGAAGGCAGTCGCTTAACCAACTGAGCCACCCAGGCGTCCTGTACTTTTTTTTTTTAATCTGTAATATGGTGGTAATAGTACAGACCTCACACGGAGTTATGAGGATTAAACGAATTAATACACATCAAGTGTTTAGAATTCATGGCTGGCATAGCAAAGGCACTCACTGTTCGCAACGGTTATTTCATTATTTGGATATTCATAACATCCTCCCAACAGAACTATTTGTCATGGAGCACATGGACAATAAATACTCAGGGTCAAAACATGTAATTTTCATTCACATTGCACCTGTATACTGCAGATACAGCAACCGTTTTTGCAAACAAACTTTAAAAACCAGGACATAATGCAAAGAACTGGGCTTTAAAAAATACTTGAATCCAAATCCAAATTGCAAAATTTGCTGTTTTGCTTCAAGAAGGTATTTAAACTCTCTGTGCCTCAATTTCTTAACTCGTAAAGTTGGAATAATATCTGCTTCACAGGGCTGTGTAAGACCAAATGACACAGTTAAGCACTGAGTATCACGTCTGGTTCACAGCAGGCACAGCATCAATTTTAGTTCCTTTCCCGTCTTCACATAAGATAAAGTTCCCACAACAATTTCTTAGAGCCTAACCATGACTGGATTATGCAAAATTAATTAATATAATTCATTAAACTCAAAATCCTGCAAAATGAGTTTACTTAAAATGAAGCTCTTTTGTATTTTACAATAGAAAACCTAAACTCTTGATAACGTAAGAACAAGAAGCCACCTGGGTTTTTTTTAAAGACGTTTTTTAGACTTTAAAGGCATTTCAAAGGCATTTTTCAAAAGTCATTTGAAGATTCAGCTTCCAAGATTGATCGAAAATGTGAAGGATGAAAACAGCGTTTCACCCGAAAACCACTGAAAAAATACACAGCAAAACCAAGGCAGATTACAACACCCAATTTTTTTAAATCAAAATTGTGTCAAAACACTGAACAATCATTTTCTAAAAATCCTGTCCAGACTCTCAACACTAGCCCTTCTGTCCGTATCAAACTTAACCCGACCACAAAGTTGCCAGATGGGAGATAATGCCGCCCTAACTGTATCCCATCGCCCAGCACTGAATCGAGCCCATGCCCTGTTTTTATAAAACACCGTGAAGAAAAGCTGCTTGTAAAATCACTATTTGTAAATATTAAAGTAGTTTAAAACCCTAGAGCAGTCCTAATTTGGGGAGAGCCAGGTAGAGGAGGGAAGGAAGCGATCTCTAACCAAGTTCTCAAACAATCGTGCCTTTATTTTCTTTCGCCTCGCGTTTATGTAGGAAGACTGCACTGTCATTGATCAAACGAGGTTACCAACAAAGCCTCAAAATCAACGTTTCAATCTCACAGAAATGTTTTAACGAATCAACTCGCTAGTTCATCAATTCTTTAAACTCAAAATTCTATATAAAGTCTCAGAGTCTTGGTAGTTCTTCGCCCCCCAACCGCCTTCGCTAAGGAAGAGAAAGGACGAAAAAGGACCTACTTGTCCCAGAAAGTCAGCACAAAGTACTCAAAAAGCGGCCAAATCTCAAACGCTCATAGCCGCTGGTGTCCCGGGACAGGCGGCGGGAACCACCCTGAACCACCCCTCAGCGCGATCCCGAAAATCAAGTCCTTTTTCTTCCCTCAAGGCAAATCCTGCCCCGCCCCGCCCCCCGCTCCGCCCCACAGCTCCCCAACCTTCACACCAAACCGGAGCTCAACGGTTTCTCGCGCACACCCGAGAGGCAAGAAAGTTCAAGGGAAGGAAAAAGTGTCGCTAAACAGACCTGTTCTGGCATCAGGATCTGCCTCACCGGCCTCCGGAGGGCACGGGACCCAGTTAGTGTCAGCCAGCCTTCCGGAGCGTCAACGGCCAAAACCGTTAATTCTATAGCTCCACAAGCGATCCTCCCGCCGGAAGTCGGGCCTGGCCACGTGACACGCCCGCCTCGAGGACCCCGGAAGCTCCGGATCTACGCGCGCACTAGCGAGCACGCGGCACTCTTCTTCCCATACACGCGGCTCTTATCCGGCGGGCGCCTGCGCAATGGTTGGGGGAATAGGAACGTTGCTAGGGCGACAGCCAAGGGGAGGGGCTTTCCCTCCCATTGCGCAGCCGGCAGTGCCCGCCTCCGAGCGTCTGTAGCTGGGCGTTCGAGTTCAGATTTCCGCTCGCAAAAGCTGGTGGGATTGGGACTCGGCGCTAGAGCGTAGCGGCGAGCCTCCAACGCTGAGAGGTGTTTCTGCGGCTGCGCAGGGGCGCCGGCGCATGGGCGCGCGATTCTTCCAGCGCCGGAGCCGCTTCGTGGAGAACGCTCGGCGTGGTGAGGCTGCTGGGCGCGTGTCCTCTCCACTGTCATTGGTTGATTTTTTGAAAAAAAAAAAAATTTTTTTTTTTTTTAAAGATTTTATTTATTTATTTGAGAGAGAGAGAGCACATGAGAGGGGGGAGGGTCAGAGGGAGCAGCAGACTCCCTGCTGAGCAGGGAGCCCGATGTGGGACTCGATCCCGGGACTCCAGGATCATGACCTGAGCTGAAGGCAGTCGCTCAACCAACTGAGCCCCCCAGGCGCCTGAAAATTTTGTTTTTTTAAATGTAATTCTATCTCTCGCCCTCCCGTCACAGACGTCGACTTTGGCTCTATCCTAGGTGTGCGCGTCATTGCTGGAATTCGAAGGAGAGGATATGGGGCCTTAATTGTGGAGGTTTGGTACAAACGGGGAAAGTTATTTTATAAAGTTGTTACCTCATGGGGAGGTAACACAGACCCTGGAGCCAGATTTACTGGGGTTAACTGCGGCCCCAACATTTAGTCCCTCCACGGCTTTGGACAAGTCAGGTAACACAGCTCTGTGCTTGCGTTTCCCCATCTGTTAAATGGGCACAATGTGGGGAGTACATGAGTTTGAGTAAGCAAAGCACTTAGAACACTATCTGGCACATAAATTTGCTACGTAATAAAGGATACATGACATTATTTAGTGGCATATTGGCATATGTATATCGAGGCTGCCCATCTTTGGAAGGAGGCACAGTCTGAGTAATTATCAGAAGCAAAGCAGGTAAGTATTTTAAAGTGAAGCCATAAATCTTTTCCTGGCTCACAGAGGAGCTACAAGGAAAGTATAGTAGATATTGGAAATTTATTCTTTCTCCTCTCAAATACAAAACGAGATTAGAGAGGCGCCTGGCTGGCTCAGTCAGTAGAGCTTGTGTGATCTCGGGGTTATGAGTTGGAGCCCCATGTTGGGTGTTGAGATTACTTTAAAAAAAATCTAAAAACAAACAAACCAACCCAAAACCCAAAATGAGATTGGAGCTCATTATACACTATTTATTACTTTTTTTCCCCTCATACTTTTGCTATAGCAGTTCCCTTTATGTCCCGTTCCCTATAAAACACTTGCTGTTTGTGAAACCCCAAGAATGCAGTTACATAATCCAAGAGAAACTGGTTGTTTAATTGCAGTCACGTTTATTTGCAGTTTCTATACACACTTTCTAGGTAATCAAACTTTTCTGGTACATTTTTTTTGAGAGGGGTTCACAATGAAACTGTCACCATTTTTACTAAAAATAAATACAAGACTTAAAGTGTTGCACAGCTCTAAAATATACAAAGGCTTGAATTGAATGTAAACGTTGAAAACATCTTACAAAAGAAACCATTTCTGCGACAATTTAAAAAGTTCATATTTACAAATATTACAAAAATACAAAATGGATGCAAGTCCATAAACCATTGTCTTTTTGGCCAGCATGAACTGGTTCTAGTACCAAAATAGTTACACTGTAACCTTCTTTATAGTTTTAAACCTTTGTCATGATCTAGTTCTCTAAGTCTGCCATCACTGCAGCAAATGTACTCACTCACTGACCTTTGGCAAGAGCAAACAGTGTGTTTTGTTTGCTACAACTAGTCCATGTCCTCTACTTAGCCAAAAAAAAACAAAAAACCAACAAAAAACAAAAAAACACCCCAAACACAAAAAACCAAAAAGTAAGGAAAAAAAAATTTTCCCCACACAACACAGACATGTTGTATAAACATAAAAGAACAAAAAATTAGCATCAGTGCAAACAACAGAAGAAAAGTTTGGATTGATGTTTTTTACAATACCTAATGTGTGTACCCTGCTTCAAAACGGTAGTGATGTTGAAGACAGCCCTCTAATTCTTGGTCTTATATGCTATGTAATAAAGCCATGTAGAATATTCCAGATTACTAAGGAATTCCTTACTTTTTTTTTTTTTAACTCAGTTACTCAATACTCAACACAGTGAATTTAAAATCCATCATTATTTGGGTTTTTTTTAAATCTATGAAATATAAAATAGAGAAACTCTGCTATAGATTTTTAGAGTAAACAAAATAAGTAAAACTATATTATAAGGGTTAGTTCTGTGATCATTACATATAGAAGGAATCTTATTGCCTCACAATTCAAGTCAGTATGTATTTTAAAAAATATATGGTACCATTACTTAAATTGATGTCAATAATAAAAAGGTGACATATTTATTAAAGCCAATTGATGGGTTTCCTATTCAAGACTTAGAATCACTTTTAAAGCCCACATACTTTCTTTACGCTTAAAAAACCCCTAACTACACAAAAGCCATACTGCAAACGAACTGCTTTTATGAAAATTACAAAAGATCACCTATTGGGACTGGAAATGACGGTTTCTTAGCGCATTTGTCTAAAAACTTTATTTTTAAAATTTTGCCAAGTGTACTTTTCAAAGCATGAGAAAAAGTTATTCATGTTCCCATGTGGTGTCAAACCATGCTGGTTTTCTTGACTAATGGGTTCCAATGAGAAATGGTCCATTTTTTTTCAAACCCCCATTTTTCTTTTCATAAAAAGTATAACACTTTATACATGTTCAAATGTACCCTTTACCAAGTAGCTTATCTATCCCAGCGCAAGCACCCACACCCACACACCCACACACACACCCACACACACATTCTCCCTCCTGTACCCCGCCACCCCCAGGACCCATTTTACATACAAGGATGACAAGAAATTAAGAAATACAATTTGATAGTGAAAACAAATAGAAGACAGACATTTTTTTTCTTTACAAACAAACAAAAACCAACAGCAATCAGATTCTCTAATTCTCAATCTATAACATCTTAGAAAGTGTTTCTATTGAAAGACAGCATCCTCTTAGACCAGGCTTTCTCCTTCATGTTGTATGAATCAAACCAAAGCCACAAACCCGCTTTCACACATCCTACTTTCCCAAATACCACTTGCATAAACTTAAAGCCAGTTGCTTATCAATTTCTTGGTAATGCTGGTCTGTTCTAGCATTCTAATCACATTCTATTCTTTTATAGGCCATATCCCTTCTTAGTTCTCTTTACTTTCTACCTTGTCCCATTCAAAACATATTCTAAGTACATAGCTGCTTATATTTCTGACATATTTCAAACATTAGTATCAGTTCACGTTAAAATCAGAGGTGTAAGAACCATTTGCAGATTTCAACTTGTAACTACTTTTTTTCAGTTTTAAGACAAGAAAATTCAAGTAATTTCAAGTAATTCAGCTTGTTTCCCTGCCTTCATTTTATCAGAGCACTTGCCCTGATATTTCCTTTCCCACCCACCACCCTCCCCTTTTGCCATCAAGCAGATATAGTAAAATCAGACAAAAACTCATTTGTATGTAGCATTGTGAACCAGAGCTGTTCCCCATTCCCGGTTTAACAGTGAATATAAATAATGCATATACACATACCTAATTCCCAACTATATTGTTCACAGTGTCATTTCTGTTACTTTTTAGGTAGCATGAATCTCATCAGCACAGAGAGAAAGCTTCACTGAAAACTCATTGCAGGTACTTACTGATAAATCAATAGCTCTGTGGCATGCTTATGTTTTATTTTTGTTAGTTAAAGAACCTGGAGCTAATTGCTAAACTGTTTAAGGAGTTTATGACTGTTTATGTCCCCAGTAGCCTAATATAAAACATAACCTAAAATTAACTATTGTTTTCCCTATTCATTCTCTTTAAAGCAATCCATTGAAAACTTAAAAGTCTAAAAGACACTGTCAAATGTTGTTCTTCAGGGCTTTGTGTTGAGAATGATGATTTTTCTCATTGATTAAAAAAAAAAATCAAAAGCATGCTTTTCATTCTGTCCAAATTACCACATGGCAAATCATAGCCATGTGTTACTATTCACTTGTTTGGTGCTGCAATTTGTCACAAAAATGGTGAGGTCTGAATTCATTATTTTAAATTAATCACATTTCAGTATATGACCTCAAGATTTTCTTTATTTCACCAGTTTAAAATTCATAATTGAGGTTTATCACTCAGAAAATCATATTGGTGGACATTTAAATATGGTATTTTATATGAAAATGGTATTCACAGAATACAATTATTACACTTTATTTGTTGTGTTCTATAAACAGTTGGTGTGTGGTAGATAATTGGCCACATGTCCACTCGTCATTGATAAATCTATTTACACATTTTTATCAAAAATATGGTATTTACATGTGTGTAGTTCTTCTGAATTTTGCTTTAGTTCATTTTAATATAAAAAAATACCAAACCTCCAGAGTAATTTCATCTTCTTAAGAATTATGACAGTGAGGGCTTTGTTTTCTGAATAGGCAGCTCTGGGAAAACTTTTTCTAGGTTTCATGAAAAGCAGACATTTTCAAATTCTATATTATCAAAAGGAATGAGATTGGGTAAATCAAACTAAGCTAAAGAAAAATATGAAAGACAGTGCAGCTACTTAAAAATGTGGAAAATAATCAAGAAAGACCATCTTCCATTTCCCCCGCAAATATTTAGGAATTCGTTGGTAAGCAGTGATGGTACCCCATGGTGTGCTGACTTCTCCCCAGTCCTCTGTTCTGTTCCTACATCCTCATATGACTAAGGGTTTTGGCCTTTGGCAGCCAGCCTGGCCCGGGCCACCTATGTTGAGCTCTGGGAGGATCGGTCGTCATGTGGGCTCCCATCAGAATTTTCTGTCTCACCCTCAGAGATGGCCTGCATGGGCGCATTGTACAGCCTGCAGCGGACGCTATAGCGACTGCTGCTGGCCGCAGGGGGCGCTCGCGAACGGCCAACCCTTGCCGATGCTGAGGTGGCAAAGTTCTTTGAGGAAAACCCTTCTGCATTAACTCTTGGGGAGCATGGAGAGAGTGGGGACAATGCCTCGGCCCCAGGTGCCCCCTGATGGGCCTCATGGGTGCTTTGTGGGGACTCAGCGGTGAGCTCGCCTGGAGGCTTGGGCAGGATGGGACTCTTGAGGATCTCAGTAGCAGACATGCGGTAACTAGAATCTGAGCGACTTCCTTTCTTGAGGAGTAACAGCTTAAACTCTTCGTTCGATGTGTTGGACTTTTTGGCATTTCGGTAGATGAGGCCAGGAGACCTCTGGCTGTTTGGGGTGGTCACGTTGCTGTTGGGCAGAGTGACAGAACCGGCGCTGCTGCTGCTGCCGCCGCCAAGAGAAGCCCTCGATTTGCTTCGAGTGGACATATCCCCAGAATCTTTTCTTCCAAGTACTTTCCTCTTGGACCTTTCAAGAAAAGGAAACATCTCAGTCCACAGACATTTTTATGAAACTACAAGTGTTATGTCACATTCATGCACTGTCCTTAAAGAGCACTTGGGTGGACCCTATCTGACTGGATAGGAAGCATTAGGACACTGGAGGTGAGGAGTGAGATACATTCCTTGCCCTTGTAGCACTCACAGCCTGAGGGAAATTCTCCAGTCATCGGCGGCCGTAAATTAGGTTCTGTAAATGACCGGCTCACATAATGACTAATGTGGAGGCTACAGCTTCTAGAGGAGGACTTATTGGGATGTTTTACAAGAGTCTGAGAAAATACTGCTGTCTGACTTCTGGTTAGAGTGTAGGCAGTGAGGGACTATAGCTTTCTCTTATTAAATCTGTCTCGGCCTTATGGATAAAATGCTCTGATGTGTGGGGTTGGCTTTCAGTGAATACCAGAAGAGCAAAGTGGATAGAGGTGTGGATGGGACGGGATTAGCCATAGGTTGATGGTGGACAGGCGTGGGTGATGGATTATGTGTGTCAGGGGGAGGTACGTTATACTATTCTGTCAACTTTTTAAATTTCTCCATATAAAAAATTTCTTACATGACTTGTTAAATAAATCAATCCATTTTTTGCTGTAAAGACCATTCTGTAGCTGCTTAGTAACATCAGCTGTGTATCAGTCAATAAGCCCACTTTCTGTGAGGAGCTAAAAACCTAGACTACCTCTGGAGCTCTTAAAGCTCTATATACTGTAAACTCTCAAGAAAACAAGGTAAAAAAAAATCAAGTGTCATCCACAAAAAAAAACAACAAGGTCATTCTTTGTGCTGCACATAAATAAATCCTACACAAATGCAAATCTAAGATTACCAAGCTCTGTAAGTCTACCAAACGTAGGCATCTGTCATCATATTATTTCTTTTGGTAAGTAAATAGGTGTAAACTTAGTGAATCTTCAGCATGATTCAGTATGTTGATAAATATTGGCAACATGCTCTTTCACCAACCTGAAAATCCATAGGGTAGAGAAAATGTCAGCTTTGCAGTTGGGAGACCAGCCTCATTTTGGTTCACTGAAACCTTTGTGGTGGTTATCTCGCATATGCCAGGGTCTGGCACTCCGATACGGTAGGAATTTCAAACTAACATTTGCTTTTAGCATCTACCATATTCGAGACACCAAAATGTTATTTTAGCATCAAAATTGAATTTGTGATCTATAGGTATCTCCACTAACAGGGAGTAGGTAGAGAGATTTTAACTGACAAGACTGGATAAGAAGTGGCAGCACTGAGATTCAATTCCAGATGTTTCTGACTCCACTACTTATGTTCTGTCCACTATTCCAGATACTAACATTTGGTCCTTTGGGGTAAGAACTTGGCTCTTTAACTTATATAGCGTTTTAGTAACTTGTCCTAAGAGAAAGTGTGGTAAGGGAAATATAATCAGATCTTAGACCACACGCAGAGCAAAGAAAAAATGAACTGATTCTTCACTCTCTGCGTGGCGAGGTGTGCCTGCTAAGGTATATACACACAGAAGGTGTTTCTGATGGACTCCTTTAAAAAAAAAGCTGTTGAAGAGCTGTGCTCCTTCTTTATGAGAAAACCACATCAACAGAAAATGCAAGTTCCCTTTAAAAGTAGAATTCCAGGGGCACCTGGGTGGCTCAGTCATTTAAGCGTCTGCCTTTGGCTCAGGTGATGATCTCCTGGTCCTGAGATTGAGCCCTGTGTCACGCTCCCCGCTCAGCAGGGGATCTGCTTCTCCCTCTCCCTCTGCCCCTCCCTCTGTTTGTGCTCTCTCCCTCTCTCTCTCAAATAGATAAATATATAAATCTAAAAAAAAAATAGTAGAATTCCTGGAAAAATGGCAAGCTTCTTGAAAAAAACTTGCTTCAAAAAGTATAACTTCAGGGGTGCCTGGGTGGCTCAGTTGGTTAACCGTCTGCCTTCAACTCAGGTCATGATCCCAGGGTCCTGGGATCAAGCCCCACGTTGGGCTCCCTCCTCAGTGGGGAGCCTGCTTCTCCCTCTCCCTTTGCCCCTGCTCATATGCACGCTCTCGCTCTCTCTCTCTTGCAAATGAATAAATAAAATCTTTTTTAAAACGTGTAACTTCATAAGGTAGAAAAGGCAGTTTCCAAGTTGTGTCCCTTGGGAGTCCCATGTAGTTCCAAGGCCTAGTGGAAGAAAGCAGTCGTGGCTGTGAAAGGAGCAGGTACAGCAGGATTGGATAGCTCAGTCTAATCTGGGTTCGGCTACCGAGTGCAAGTTCCTGCTCTGTTCGTCAGTCACAAGTTGTAAGGAGTATATATTCTTGCAAACATGGTCCTTGATTGCAGGGGGCAGGGGGCAGGTGAGAGAATGTGAATGGGCAGCCTGGACACAATAGTGTCCTAGAAAAACAGCCCAGAGGACGTCCTCTGTTTGTGGGATTTAGGGTATTAATTTTAGAGAGGACCAATGTTATTAAAGAAGTTTAAGTTTTAGGAACAGGGGGAGAAAAGGAGCAGTGATTAGTTCTGAGCTATGAAACGGGCAGGTTTATACACTGTCTTGTCTCAAACTTGGGCTCTGACTGTTCAGTGAATCGGCTTGCATCTCTGCTAGTGTAGGATTACAGTTGTGAGCTTTTTTTTTTTTCTTTTGGTTCAAGAAATTATTTGTCAGAGATTACAACAGAGTGAGCTTTCACGCTGTTACTTAGCCACAAATTGTTTTCAAACGAAAACCTGTCGCAAGATGTCTTTCCTATGGAAAACACCTCTCCCTTCGGCAGTTCTTATGGAAGTCTCTCAAGTCAGGTTGAGCTACATATGAAGGCTCACATTCCCCAACAGAAATATAAGTCTATCAGTTTGATTTGATGAGATGCACTGAAAGAAGCAAAACTTTTGGTGTTAATTGCCTCACCTGTGAATGACTGCAAACAAATCCTCAGTTGTACGAGGTTTGTTTGGAGACACGAACACACCTTCTGCTTCAGCCTGAGAGTCTTCACTAAGTGGCGAAATCATAGAGTCATCACTCGGTGACGATTCTTAAATGAAGAACAAAAGCATCTTTAAGAAGAAGTTACCAGATGGGGCGCCTGGGTGGCTCAGTTGGTTAAGCGACTGCCTTCGGCTCAGGTCATGATCCTGGAGTCCCTGGATCGAGTCCCG